TCAAAGTGTCCCGCCCCGTTTTTTTTTTTTATTTATTTATTGTATTAAAAGTCGCTTGCCACTATTTTTAGCACAGGGGCATGTGGAGAATTATTACGTATAATAGAGGTTGTCGGCGGACTTTATATTCTAATTATGTCTATTAGAACTGTTTAGTAAAGGCTAAATTAGACAACATTTATTGTGTAAATTTTGACAATATCAAACGTGAATATAAACATTATATGTGACTTAATGTTTGCATTTAATCTGCCGTATATTCTAGTGCCTCCGTGGTCTAGTGGTATGTTGCTCGATTAGAAAAAGATAAAAAAAAAATGTTGCTCGATTAGCAAGCGAGAGGCTCGGGTTCAATCCCCGGACGATTCTCTCTTTTTTTTAAATTTTTTTGTTTGTTGTTGTTTTGTTTTTGTTTTTTGTTTTTTTTGTTTTGTTTTTTGGATTTACTAAATGATATTATTCAACATGTGAAATGAAAAAGTTATGATGTCTGGCGTGTACAAACTCATAAAATCATTATTACAGTGTAATAAATATTCTGTATATAGAATATTAAAAAGAATCTTCTATACATATATTAAAGAATAAAGCAAATCTTTATATCCATATTGGCTTTTAAAAAATTTGCTTCAATATACATGTATACATTTAATAATTCTACAAATACAGGGGGGCAGTGTGACCCCCCCCCCCCCGAACTGCGCATGCTCTTCTTTTTTCCCTAAGCGGGGGACACAAATTCTCTGAATTAGCTTGTTGTTCTTAGTTCTCGTAGACGCTTTCAATAAAAGCGTCTTTGTGAAAAAAATTGGTTTGCCCTGATAGGCCCGTTATGTTCTTGGTTAAAATACCCGTAGGCTGTAGCTTTAAAATCTAGTCAGATAGGATCAGCTGTTCTAAAAATGTTTATGTTTGTAGGTGAGATTATTTTAGTATAGTATATCCTCTATTCCATGTTGAAATGTTGATCAATTTTGCGATTTGGTGCTCCTCAAAGTAGATCAATTTTGTCCTGTAATAGTTTTCTTTATTACTTTCTCCAATATATATATATATATAATTAATTTTTACACTGTATGAAACCATGCGTATTTTGGTCGCAGCTGTTTGATTTTCCTTTAATAATTCTGGTTTGATAACGAATAGCAGTCAAAGAGTATACATGTACATGTATCTGACATATTTGAGAGAGCACTGATAAAAATGTATCCCTCCGAGTGTGCCATGGCTTAGTTATATGTACAGAATTTTCATAATTGTTCAAAGGCAAAATTACTGCATTTTGTCGTGAATAAATTAAATAGAAACCTTTTACAAAACGGATGAGTCTGAATATTAAGTCAGGAACAAAAAATAACAAGGGACCCATGGACCACAATGCCCAGCTTTCCTTCATCAGCAGATTCTTTTTTTTTTCTATATATATTTCTATGTAAAACTATCATCAGATATTATTCCCTCACACTGCCCCAGGGGGTCATGATTAAAACAAACTTCCAATCAACACGACCTGAGGATGCTTCCACATACATGTACATTGTATATATGAGTGAATTTGGCTTATCTGTTCTTTAGAAGATTTTAAGAAGATTTTATTTTTGCTTGTGTAAAATTTGATTGTCTATTGTTGCTTCATCCTACCCAGGGGTCATGATTTTATCAAACTTTAATTTACACTATCTGCATATGATTTCATGTAAATTTGACAAACCATGGCTTTGCTATTCCTTGGAAAAAAGATTTTAATAGACCTTCTATATATTCCTATGCAAAACTTTGACTCCCCATTTCTGCCCCACCATGCAACCAGGGGTCATGATTTGATTTTTAAAAGATATTTTCTATATATTTCTATGTGAAATTTGAACACCTGTTATGGCCCCGTCCTACCCCCAATGGTCATCACAGGATGAAACTTGCGCATTTCAGGCAACTGAATGATCACTGAAAGGGTCTGGAAAGGCAGAGATCTACCATTCAGGCACACTTTCATTTAACCGAATAGTTTTCAAATAACTTAAATCTATGATACCAAGGGGTGTGTCCTGTATAAATGTAACTAATTATGGCTTTACTGTTCTTGAGATGGAGTTTTGTTTGTTTTTTTTTTAATATTTCGTACACTACCTGCGGATGCTTCCATGTAAATATGAAAAATCAAGTATCTGTCGCTGTTCCTTCGAAAAGTTTTTTAAAGACCTCCTATATATTCCCATGAAAAAACCCTTTTATTCCCCATTCCCCCTCCCTATACAAGGGGTAATTATTTGAAAAAAAAAAACAAAACTTCAATCTACACTACCTGTGAATGGTTCCATATAAATAGGACTCACCCTGATACTTTCGTACATTTTTGATTCCCTGTTGTTTCCCCGAGGGTATGATTTGAACAAACCTTAATTTACACTACCTGTGGATGGTTCTATATCAATATGACTAATCATGGCATTGCTTTGTAAAGCAAATTTTTTAAAAAGGATTTTTCTATATACTTCTATGTATAATTTTGATCCCCTCCTGTACCCCCACCCTCCCCCTTGGAGGGGGGGGGGGTTAGATCTAACAAACTTCAATAAACATGTACCATACCTTAGGATACTTTTATATAACATGTAATCATGATATTATTATTAATAAATAATCAAGGCTTTGCTTTTCTTGAAAAGATATTTTTTAAAAATACAATTTGTATAAATATGAAAAGTTTTGATAATTGGTTGAAATGTTTAGGATGCCTCGTTTTATAACAGGAACTGGAAGGGTGTATGGCTTTTTGATTAATATACCGGTAGGACTGTCTCTGTGTAATTGTAATTGTCATGAATTCATACTTCAAGACAGTGGTGTCATTTTATTATACATGTAGCTCAAAGATATGATTTTGAGTATATCTTTTTTTTTTGCCTCAAAGGGGTTGGATATCATTTTATCTGAAGTATCAATGACGCAGGTTAAAATCCTTAATCAATTAAATTCTGTTTTGATTGAGTGATTGATTGTATGCTGTTTTACGTCCCATTCAGGAATTTTTCACTCAGATAGAGACGTCACCATATACCTGTGAAGGGCTTCAAATTTTGACGTTTACTCGGCACTTACGGCCATTGATCAGTGAGGGATCTTTATCGTGCCAACGCCTGCCGTGACACGGGGCCTTGGTTTTTAAGATCTCATCCGAAGGACCCGCAACTTTCACTTTAAAGTGCCGAGCGCATGGCGAAGGAACAGTTACTACCATTTTTTTATCTACTTAGATCAGTCGCGACCTCACGATCACGGAGCAAGCGCTCTACCGACTGAGCTACCGTGAACGGTAATTCTGTTTTGAATGTCCCTTAATTTTGGGCTAATGTAGAATAATGAGAGAGAGAGAGAAAAAGAGAGAGAGAGAGAGAGAGAGAGGTACTACTAACACTTAAGTTTAAATAAGGCGATAATTTTATGTCTCTGGTTTTTAAGACTATTTAGAATCTCAAACCTAAACCAGTCAGTGTTTAGTTGGCTTAATGCTTTTTGTCCATCTGCCCCATCAGTAAGCATCGGTATGCATTATTTTTATTCTGTTCATCGATATTAAAAAGAAAGATTCTTTTATATTTGATTAATTTATCAATAATACAATATTTATTATTTTCACTTAAAATACCGAGGTTTGAAGGATCAAATGTCAATTGTTTAGAATTGATTAACCTCGATGGTACATATGAATTATATACGGTACCAATTTTGATGTACCAGATGCGCATTTCGACAAATTATGTCTCTTCATTGATGCTCAAGCCGAAACGTTGGAAATCCAAAATATTTAAGAGCTGAAAAAGGATGTCAAAGACTAAATATGTCGAAGGATCAGAGCTATGCATGAGGGAGATAATCCTTAATTTTGAAATTTTCTAAATTTTACCACAGCAATTACATGTAAATGTACATCAGTGTTTTCAAGTCAGTACCGAAGTACTTAACTACAGAGCTATAGAGACCCTTGGGGACTACATGTAATAGTCCACCAGCAGAAAACTCGACCCAGGGGTCATTATGTAAATGGAGCATTAATAAAAAGATTTATATGTACTAATTTTGATTGAACTACAATGAGTAATTTGAAATGTGATTTTGTTTTAGTTTACTGCCAAATAGAATTTTAGGAAGTAAATAAAGATATTTTAAAAAATATTTCATCGTATAGACCTTATTAGGCGCCCTTTCTATTTTTAAAAAAGTATCCCATAATGCCTTGCGCGTGGGCATGCGCACTACAGCGTAGGGCAAGGTCGCTTACCTTTCAACAATAGCCTTTACCTGTAAAACCGCCATATTGATTGTTTACGTACATGACAGTGATTTTTGAACAAGTGAATGTGTTTTATGCTTGAATCCCAGTGCAATGCCGGCTCATTGTTGTGCATTTGGTTGTAAAAGTAGACAAACGGCTGGTGTAAATTTGAAGTTCTTTCGTATACCAAAGGATGAACACCTGAGAGTTAAGTGGGTTTCGGCCATTAAGCGGGAAGATTGGGAGCCCTCCGACCATTCCCGAATTTGCTCCAAGCATTTCATAAGCGGTAAGTAAAGTGAGATACGATGACATTAAAAAGAAAATTATAATTTGTAAGATTTATCTTCACTATTCAACCATTACGATATTCATTGATAAAAAGTAACTGCACCCATAAATGACTGCTTAAACGACTACAGAAGTCTTTGAGATACTTCTGACCAGTTGTGAAAAGGAACAAAAGTGCAATTTAGTTCAACAAGAGTAAATTTATAAGAGAACGATGCTGGCTTGTGTATTTCGATGCTACAGATTATTCAATTCTGTAATATTCTTTCCAGGCCGAGTATTGTTATTTCAGATATTTGTGCATGACATAGGCCCCCAAAAAATCTTTTTAAAATTGTAAATTATGTCCTGATAAAGCTTTTTTTTATTTTTACTTCATGTGTTTAAATAATAATAACTTCTCCTGACTCTTGTTAAATTACGAAGGAACCTTGCCATGACGGACTTAGCCTACCGGTTCAACATAAGCCAGTCATCAGTGACCAACATATTTCATGCATGGTTATATGCCCTTTATTCTACTTTGGGAGGTCTTGTGCGTTGGCCAGAAACGGATGTGTGTCAGTTACCCGAAGTCTTTCAGAATGAAGTATTCAGGAGGGTCAAGTGTGTGATTGATTGTACGGAGATATTTATTGACAGGCCGTCAAATTTAAAGGCAAGAGCACAGACCTACTCTAACTACAAGAGACACAACACCATTAAGATTCTCGTGGGTGTGAGTCCTACAGGTTGTGTGACTTTCCTGTCTACATGTTGGGGAGGACGAGTAAGTGACAGACAAATCACATGTGAATCCGGGCTTCTTGACAAACTCTTGCCAGGAGATGTTGTACTAGCTGATATAGGCTTTAACATGACAGAGGATTTTGCCCTTAAAGGAGCCCAGCTCATAGTGCCTGCTTACACTAAAGGGAAAAGCAAGCTACCAAAGGAGAATGTCGAGAAGTCTCGCAAGATGTCGAGAGCTCGGATCCACATTGAGCGTCTCATTGGGAGGATGAAGGACTTCGAGATCATCAAAGGCCCATTACCTATAAATCTAGTCAAGAGGAAGTCAGATTCTCGCATTACAGCCGGGGACAAGATAGTGCGTGTTGTAGCTGCCATTGTCAACACCAATGATGCCATTTTGTGAATTGTGACTTATTTTGTTCTAGGTCTATGAATCTTGAGATTATAATGTCAAAAGTACTGTAAAATTCATTTAAAATGTCAAGGTTGTTTCAGGTGTATTAGATCCCCATGAACTAACCATCTGAGCATGATATATCAGTAAAATTCAATGGCAAGTTTTTATGTTATATATTTCCATTGAAGTTGTATTGTGATTGCACCAATTTAATGAATGTACCTATTAAAATAATATCAATAAAATCATGTCAAAAATTTAGATCTGAAACATTTTTTAGCAATCTATGGGACTGGTTCAAAGGATCTGGGGCCCGTTTTACAAAAGAACTTAGGACTAAGACCAAAAACTTTCGTTGATTGTAAAATTTTGCAAAATCAATGATTCTCTTTAAAATTTCTAGCATAAAAATATCATGTTAAATTCATTTAAAAAGATTAAAACCATTGTCACATCAATTGAAATTAGAAAGTAATAAGCAGAATTAAATTTTGGTCTTAGTCGTTAGTTCTTTTTTAAAATGGACCCCTGATTTTAATGAAAATGTAAGAATATAATTCAAAAAATCACTTGAACAGATTGGATTTCCTCTTCTTCTTTTTTTAACAAGAATTATATCATGAACAAGAAATAAATTAAAATCTATGTTTTTTTTAAAGTTCTTTAATGCAAGTTTTATGGTAGCATGGTAAACAAGATAACAATGGAAACAAAAGCATTGTCGCAACTTTTAGCAAAAAAAATGACATATCAATATATCATCATATTGAATGTTCATGAGTAAAGTTTGGTGGATAACAATGGAATCAAAAGCATTGTCACAACTTTATAAGAACTGAACAAGTTATCATCATATTGAATGTTCATGTTCATTAAGTAAAGTTTGGTCACTCTGTTCTTCTTGGTTGGGGGCATCTTTCTGCAAGGTAGGCAACTCCACAAACCCTGTAGGGTAGATTTAAGTCCCACACACTTGAAATGGTACCATTCCACTTTACAATGTCCTGAATCACATGCAATCATATCATCGAAAGTCTCTGGCTTTCCACAGATACAAACGGTATTGTCTTGAGGCACATTGTTGTTCACTTCTCTGATTTTGCGAGTTAATAGTTCAGGTAAGACAGCAAACAAAAAGAAATCCTTCAACAGTGGAAGCACATTCTCACTAAAGAAATGTTCATCTCGCTTAATACGCTCAACATGAATTCCACTTGTGGTCCAACAAACAAAATCACAAAAGTCTACGTTGCACACTGCCATTTGCCCTTGAACTTGATAAAAATGTTTCGACATTATGGCAAGTTGGTTGTTGCACTGCTTTCCTGTAGCTCTTGGAGCATGCGGTTTAAGGTAGAACCCTGGGTCTTTAACAGAACAAGGATGAGTGTTCTTGTATTTGAATGGGCATTTAATTTCAACCAGTCCTTTCCCACAACATGGACAGTCTGTCACAGCATCTGGACTGTCTCCAAGTGTGGGATAATCTGGGTTGAGTACTAGGCCGCTCTGTCTTGTCGAGAATGCTTCGTTGTGTTGTAGCATCAATTCTGTATATTCTTTTAGTGCCGTTTCCTCATTTGATTTCCCCCACTTAATTGCTGGTGTGTCAATGTTTGGAAAATACTGCATGATTCTTTTTATCAAAGAAACACTCGGTCTCTGTACATTAGTGTGGCAAATGTCATAAAAGTTTGATGCTGTGAGGCGGCCTTCCCGGTATTTATAGCACTTTGTAGACAAGCTCTGATTTCGGGTTAGTTCCTCAACGTTGATGGACTCCTCTTGGTTGATGGTAATGTTTTGGAGAATGTCATCACACTTGGTAGCTAGTTCTGTATCTGAGAGGTTGGTATACTCTGGGTTGTAGAGAGATGTAAGTACAACTGGCAGGGATGGTTTTGGTATAGGGGGATTTGGACAGGGTTCAGTCACAGTAAAGATCACAGCTGTTGGGTTGGTCTCTCTCAACTTCTGCAGAAATGAGGCTGTGTTTTCAAATGCAATGCCTGCATGTTGTGGTACTGGAGAGGATGGAAGGTGAAAGTTGGTTTTCTTTGGTTTCTCAAAGCTTATCTCATACAGTGGGACAGCCTCCACCTAAAAATTTACAAAAAATGTATCAACTGAAATTTTTATAATGTCCTTACTAATAGTAGTTCTTTTTATTTATATAAGAGTTTCATTATTATTTAATATACATATATCTGATAATATACTGGTAAACAGAAAAAATACCTACTATTCTTTTTACTTATCTAGCAAATTTGTAAAATATTCAAACCAGTATCCATGATTAAAACAAAATTTTGTTCTAATAATAATTCGAAATGCTAAACTCATTTTACAACTTCTTGTTTAAGGTACCTTTCTGGTAAAGTTTTGGTTCCATGTACATGGCATTGAAGTGCAGGCAACTTTATTGTATCCCAATCGTACACTTGCCTCGACTTTGAAAAGGATGGCAGCAACATGGGAACATACCTCTCCCAATCTAAAAAAAAAATATCCTTGATAAGACTTGTATACCACACGTGGGTCTATAGATCTATACATGTATATTATGTAAAACAAAACCAAATAAATCAAGCAAATGAATCTTTCTTTTAACATACACGCTGTACATAAGTAGCTAATTTATGAATAATATTCAGTTAAAAACACATGATGAAAATATTTTTCTCATTTAAAATGAATTCTAATTTGACTTAAGTCTGTTTTCATTTGAGGCATTTTGACAGTCTATGGTGATCTGTTTACATTCTGACTGCAGCTCAAATCCTGTACAGAAGCAGTTCCTTGTATTTAATTTGAATCTATCTTTTCTTCAACAAAGTGTAAATAATAATGATATGTGTGTAAATTTAAATCTGATATTTTCAGGGTGAATTTGTGCCTCGAAATAAAAACATGGAAAAGTCAGTTTTAAGAATCACACATTAGGTATCAATGCCCTGCTCACCAGCTAAAATCGTTCACTTATTAACATGTGCTTAATTCCCTAGGCTCTAACAATAAAAACATTCTTACCCGGCCATACATGTGCAGTGGGCATTTAGAATGGTGCAGTCTTTCTCTACACACACCCATGCTTCGTGTGGCTTGTCGGTCACAGCTTGTGATCTGTTGACTTTCGCCTTGAGGAAGGACTTATCACTGCCCAGAGTAGAATAAAACACTGTATGCACCCAGCCACTATGAAAGTAATTATAGGCTTCCAATGATCTGTATGCTTTTAAAGTCTCACGTGTAAACTCTCTTGGGCTCTCTATAAGATAACAGTAAATTTCCCCAAACTGAACGTCCGGCCATTTTGTAACATCGTCAACCCAATTTTCACATTCGTCAATGAACGGATCAAATGACAGTTTTTTGATCCCAAGTTTGGAAAGTTTTTCCTTGTAGTGTTTTTGAGGCGCCTCCGGCAACGACTTGTAATATAAACTCATGGCTTAATTTGTTTACATAATCCGATTACTTCACGCTGTGATTCGCTTCGCTTCTCTGTTGTAGGTCTGCCCTACGCAGTGTGCGCATGCGCGGGGTCAAAGGTCAAATTTCAAAAACAAAGGGCGCTTAATATTAGCTATATCTTTACGGTGAAACAAATGATTCCTCCTTATTAGAATAGGCCAGCATGGTAAAAAATGATATCTTTTGAGATATGTTGTGATCTGACCAGTGCTTAGCTTTTGGTCGTGGTCATAGGATCCTTTTAATACCGACTATTCCTTTGCTTAAAATTATTTTTTCTTGAATCCATGAAACCCGTAAATTGAAACAAAAATGTGAAGTAAAGTTTGACGTCGTAAAAAAGATAAGCGTGTGTTATGATAAACTTTTGTTTGATAAAACTCATACTCATTTTTTTTCCATTATTTCCCGATCATGTCAAGAAGCACACAGCGGGTGTGACCGGTCGACAGGGGATGCTCACTCCTCCATGGCACCTGGTCCCACCTCTGAAGTTTAAGAGGTCCACGTTTGCTCTGCTCTTATTTTGTAATGTTTAATGGACTTTTGAGCTCGAATACTGTTCGTTATCTCCACATATTTCACCCATATAATTCAACTTCTGGTATTTTAAGTCAATAATCATTTGCACCTGATACAACTTCTGATGTATTTAGAGGAGGACCGTTTTGCTCTGCTCTTAATTTGTATCATTCCAATGGCTCTTACGTGGATTATTGTTCGTCTTCATCATATTTTATGGTATGAAAATTATTAAACTTCTACGATCAGACAGATAGTTTAATGAAACATTAGATTAGAGACGATGACAACTTGTTGACGTTAAATGAAAAATGTGGTATATGTATTAGAGATGCTGAGAAATTGATGAGCTTTTCCCGATGAAAATAACCAAGTCTTTGAAGTAATCTGATCATAAATATATACATGAACTTTTAATCAACGTCAGACGTCAGCAGATATGTTCTTGCAATCAACACTGCGCATTTATTCTTATGATTTTCTAATTAACAGCAATCTTTGAGCATTACATTTTTTTTTTGAAAACAAGGAAAAAAGTATTTATCCTACATGACGATTTCTCGGCATGCAGCAAATATTATATATCATGATAAATTATTAATAGCTTTGAAACTCTTACTGCGAAAGAGATCCTCAATGACAATTGCACAAAGAAATGAATAGCCTGAATATATGCATGACCAAAACAAACTTAAATAAATGGCAGCACGGAGTCCATCAATTTTTTTTCTTCAAAATTTGGATATAAGACCATTTCATTTCAAAGTTCACATGGTCTGGTAAAAATGTTAAACCACTGACCCTATATTTCTTTAAAGAATTTTCAAATATCATATGAATATATTAGCACTGGAGATCCTATTTTGTTTTATCAATATAGAGAGATAATGTGTTTACTTTAAAGTTTTATTTATTAGAAATGACAGAGTATACATACATTTAAGGGGGAAAATAATATGCATAATTTTACTTTTACCTTTAAGGGGAAAAATAATTTTACATTTAAGCAT